TTTTTTTTTTTTTTTTTGCTTTATTGAATTAGTTGCCGATGAAAACGGTTTCCGACCTCAAGTAAGTATATCGAAGATCCCTTTGAATTTTTGTCAATGTTTAATTTTTGTTTTGTCTTCAACAGGGAGCGCATTTGCCAGTTGCTCCAGTATTTTAATAGTTCTCTACTTTAAACGATACGTCATCTCAAGGAAATGCAATTGAAAATTCACATACACAATTTATAATAAAATTAAAATGAAAAGTTAATAACAGAACGAATAAGCCGTTTCACATAATATTGCAACATAAATTGTGTCTAGCTCATATTTTTGCATTCTAATGATTCTATTTTGACAAGTTGGTAATAACAACCAAAGTTGTTGCTGATGAATCCAAAATATAATAAAATATTTTTGAAATTATACAACATCGTCTTTTTTATAAATAATTATATCACATATGTAGGTTTGACTTTTTTCATTTATTCTTCAATATAAACACTTTCCGCTGAATTTCACCTTCAGTTTGAACAAAAATATCTATTTTCCAAATACCAATTAGCCACCGTTTGCTTGGTACCGCAAATCTCTTAAAATGCTAAATTGTTATTCTTTTCCGTGCTTTCACATCGGACGCAAAACTTCAATGAATTCTCAGTGTAAATTCAAGCGATTGCGTGAATCGTATAAAATTTATTTCTTGTCATGGACACGTGCATTTTTATGAGGATATTCAATAATTTTTTTATCTCTAAGTTTTATCCAATTCATTGGAGGCATAAAATTAATATATATTTGATGCGTGAAAAATTGCGTATATGTTATACAGGTGTCTATTTGCATAACCTATGCAAATTAATATACCAATATGTTTCATCAACGCAGCGCAAAATTTTTGGTATAAATACGATGTTCGAAATGTGAGAGGGCATAGAAATCATTTGTTGTTGAACTGATCAAAAACAAAAAAATCATCCAAAATGAAATTCGTTGTAAGTATCAAATTTAATTTTGTTGTTGAAAAGTGTGAATTCAAAGAAATTTTTTGCAAAGATTCAAAGTTTGATAGTTTGAACGAAGCTAATTATTGAGTTGCTAGATTTTCAACACAAACTGACAACATCTGTTTTGCATGTATTTTGATGGCTAATTAATTTTATTTTCAATTTAGGCCATTGCTATGTTCGCCTTCATCGCCGTTGGCTCAGCCGCTCTTCTTCCATCCCCACCAGCAGCGCCAGCAGCGCCAGGAGCCGACGCCAGTGCTGAAACTGTAAAAAATGTTGTCAATGTTGGAACAGACTCATTCAAATATGAGTACGAAACATCAAACGGAATCAAAGCCGAAGAACAAGGTCAATTGAAGACCATTGGATCAGAACAAGCTATCGTCACACAAGGTTCATACTCATGGGTTGCTCCAGATGGTCAAACATACACCTTGAAATTCGTTGCTGATGAAAATGGTTTCCATCCCGTCGCCGATTTCTTGCCAACTCCTCCAGCTCCTCTCAACTAAATTCTACAAATTGAGAAGCAACACCTTTACAAAAAAATGTTCAATACAACATCTAAATTATAGAAGATCAATTTTTGATAAAATCATGGTTGAATTCAATGCGAATTAACTATGATAAATCCATTAAAAGAAAAACAATAAAAACTACTATTCAACTTATAAATGATCGTATTTATTCTACATTTATTTTGAATCACCATTAAAAGCGGTGAAAATTCATTTCATTTATCATTTAATATAACTGACATTGACGCAGCTCGTAGAATTATGATTTTTTTCCTAATTATATTTTTCAGAGGTAGAGGTTTACACTAGATGTAATCGAATCCCCTCCTTAAATCTTTGGCAACTAGGTTTGGATTATTTTATTTCAAAATGTATAGATTAGCATAGACATGATGAAATGATCAAACGCAGAATTTTTTTCATATTTTTTTAAATAAATGAACTTCTCAGAAGTTATTATATATCATATTCTGACGTTAAATTTAGTTCGCTAGGGGCGTGATGATTTCTAAATTGACAAAGAATCACTTGGATTGAAGAATGTTTATGGCCGATTTCAACGAAACTTTAACAGTGAATGTTGATGTGTTAAATCTCGGCTGACATCCATTTTTGACCAGATTGGACCAATCCATCTTGATTTTCCTATTAAAAAGTGGATTAAAATGTTGAATTCGAAAGATTTTATTGCCAAATTTGGATTCCTTGATCCAAATTAAGTCGAAGTGGTATTTTTGAAGTTTGTGGTTCGTGGTAGATTACAATATGTCTTTTAATAAATGTGATTGATGTCGGAAATCATGGTCCGTCGTTGTCTAACACGCATTGGATTTTGTTTCGGGAACAATTTGACTTATATACGTATACACTAAAAAATACAAAAAATACAATAGCTCTACATTTCATGTAGCGTTTACTAAATACTTTATTAAAAACAAACTAAAAAATAAAAACAAAACACAAATAATCAATATTATAATGAGCTTCTACTTGTTTTTGATGTGCAAAGATTCAAAAAGATTCGTGATTTCAGATTTAAAATGATCTACAGAAAATTGTAAAAATCGTAATTTCTTCATTTGTGTCTAATGACTAGAGAATAACTATATTTTGTAAACATTTTAAGCGCAATTAAAATGCATATTAATTCTGGAATGCGATTCTGGAATAAACTACCCAAAAATTCAAATTCTAAATGTTTTTTTAAAAAGAAAATTACATTACTATACTTGCTATAAATGAATTTACCGTTTTTTCACGAGTGTATGAAAGACGTTCAGTTAATACGAAACTAAAAACGTATTCCTTAGAGAAATCTTCTCTTTATGAAGCTTGCATAAAAAATCGAAACAGATTCATCTCTGTTAACACATCTTGCACTCTCATAGCATACGTTAGTTTTTCAAGTAAATCGAATTGCTCAATATGAAATGCTAAACTCTTTTTGAACAATCGAATAGTCCAATTCGTCCTAAAATCTGTTCTTTCCTCTTTCCTCATTGCCTTTTAATTAACTTCTGTTGTCCTTTCCATACATTATCATCAGCAAAGAGATAGCTCAGACGCAGTGTATGCTGAACAAAAAATCGTGTCATTGTGTGAAAGTAAAACCAAAAAATATCGCACCCATGAATATAAACATTTTAAATCATCAATGTATGGTCCTTTTAAACAGGAATATAATAGCAAGAAGAGTTTAATTCAGCATTTAATATGCATGTTTATGACGACAACAAACTACTTTTTCTCCATCTTTTATTTGAATCATCTTAACTTGAATACTGTACATGTTGGTAGTGTTGATGCTATTCTTATCATTCTTTCCATTTTTTTGCATAATCTGTTAAGGCAGATAACATAATTTAAATGTCACCGCCAAGTTCATCGTTACAAATGTTTAGTATAAATACAGCGCCCATATTTTGAAAATGCATAGAAAAGATTTTGTGCTCTAGTAATCAAAATCAAAAATCATTCAACATGAAATTCGTTGTGAGTGTTCAAAAAAATTGTTAAAAGTAATTTTTTGTAGTCTCAAAATATCAAAAGGCATTTTGAATATCATAATAAAAATATAAAATAGTGTCAACATTGAAATGTATCAATTTGTAGTTGTTTGAGTTCAGAACAAAGCTAAT